CCAACACAGTAACACTATTCCAACACAGTAACACTATTCCCACACAGTAACACTATTCCAACACAGTAACACTATTCCCACACAGTAACACTATTCCCACACAGTAACACTATTCCCACACAGTAACACTATTCCAACACAGTAACACTATTCCCACACAGTAACACTATTCCCACACAGTAACACTATTCCAACACCTTAACACTATTCCAACACCTTAACACTATTCCAACACAGTAACACTATTCCCACACAGTAACACTATTCCCACACAGTAACACTATTCCAACACCTTAACACTATTCCAACACCTTAACACTATTCCAACACAGTAACACTATTCCCACACAGTAACACTATTCCCACACAGTAACACTATTCCAACACCTTAACACTATTCGAACACCTTAACACTATTCCAACACCTTAACACTATTCGAACACCTTAACACTATTCCAACACAGTAACACTATTCCCACACAGTAACACTATTCCAACACAGTAACACTATTCCAACACCTTAACACTATTCCAACACCTTAACATTATTCCCACACAGTAACACTATTCCAACACAGTAACACTATTCCCACACAGTAACACTATTCCAACACCTTAACACTATTCCCACACAGTAACACTATTCCCACACAGTAACACTATTCCAACACCTTAACACTATTCCAACACAGTAACACTATTCCAACACCTTAACACTATTCCAACACCTTAACACTATTCTCACACAGTAACACTATTCCCACACAGTAACACTATTCCAACACTTTAACACTATTCCCACACAGTAACACTATTCCCACACAGTAACACTATTCCAACACAGTAACACTATTCCCACACAGTAACACTATTCCCACACAGTAACACTATTCCAACACTTTAACACTATTCCAACACCTTAACACTATTCCAACAACTTAACACTATTCCAACACAGTAACACTATTCCAACACAGTAACACTATTCCAACACCTTAACACTATTCCCACACAGTAACACTATTCCCACACAGTAACACTATTCCAACACTTTAACACTATTCCAACACCTAAACACTATTCCAACAACTTAACACTATTCCAACACAGTAACACTATTCCAACACAGTAACACTATTCCAACACCTTAATACTATTCCAACACAATAAACACTTCCAGCACAGTAACACTATTCCAACACAGTAACACTATTCCAACACCTTAATACTATTCCAACACAATAAACACTTCCAGCACAGTAACACTATTCCCACACAGTAACACTATTCCCACACAGTAACACTATTCCAACACCTTAACACTATTCCCACACAGTAACACTATTCCCACACAGTAACACTATTCCCACACCTTAACACTATTCCCACACAGTAACACTATTCCCACACAGTAACACTATTCCCACACAGTAACACTATTCCAACACCTTAACACTATTCCCACACAGTAACACTATTCCCACACAGTAACACTATTCCCACACAGTAACACTATTCCAACACCTTAACACTATTCCCACACAGTAACACTATTCCAACACAGTAACACTATTCCAACACCTTAACACTATTCCAACACAGTAACACTATTCCAACACCTTAACACTATTCCAACACAGTAACACTATTCCCACACAGTAACACTATTCCAACACCTTAACACTATTCCAACACAGTAACACTATTCCCACACAGTAACACTATTCCAACACCTTAACACTATTCCCACACAGTAACACTATTCCCACACACTAACACTATTCCAACACTTTAACACTATTCCCACACAGTAACACTATTCCCACACAGTAACACTATTCCAACACAGTAACACTATTCCAACACTTTAACACTATTCCAACACCTTAACACTATTCCAACAACTTAACACTATTCCAACACAGTAACACTATTCCAACACAGTAACACTATTCCAACACCTTAACACTATTCCCACACAGTAACACTATTCCCACACAGTAACACTATTCCAACACAGTAACACTATTCCAACACTTTAACACTATTCCAACACCTTAACACTATTCCAACACCTTAACACTATTCCAACACAGTAACACTATTCCAACACAGTAACACTATTCCAACACAGTAACACTATTCCAACACCTTAATACTATTCCAACACAATAAACACTTCCAGCACAGTAACACTATTCCAACACAGTAACACTATTCCAACACCTTAATACTATTCCAACACAATAAACACTTCCAACACAGTAACACTATTCCCACACAGTAACACTATTCCAACACCTTAACAATATTCCAACACAGTAACACTATTCCAACACAGTAACACTATTCCCACACAGTAACACTATTCCAACACAGTAACACTATTCCAACACCTTAACACTATTCCCACACAGTAACAATATTCCAACACAGTAACACTATTCCAACACAGTAACACTATTCCCACACAGTAACAATATTCCAACACAGTAACACTATTCCAACACCTTAACACTATTCCAACACCTTAACACTATTCCAACACAGTAACACTATTCCCACACAGTAACACTATTCCCACACAGTAACACTATTCCAACACCTTAACACTATTCCAACACCTTAACACTATTCCAACACCTTAACACTATTCCCACACAGTAACACTATTCCAACACAGTAACACTATTCCCACACAGTAACACTATTCCCACACAGTAACACTATTCCAACACCTTAACACTATTCCAACACAGTAACACTATTCCCACACAGTAACACTATTCCCACACAGTAACACTATTCCAACACCTTAACACTATTCGAACACCTTAACACTATTCCAACACCGTAACACTATTCCAACACAGTAACACTATTCCCACACAGTAACACTATTCCAACACAGTAACACTATTCCCACACAGTAACACTATTCCAACACAGTAACACTATTCCAACACCTTAACCCTATTCCAACACCTTAACACTATTCCAACACAGTAACACTATTCCAACACAGTAACACTATTCCCACACAGTAACACTATTCCAACACAGTAACACTATTCCCACACAGTAACACTATTCGAACACCTTAACACTATTCCAACACAGTAACACTATTCCAACACAGTAACACTATTCCCACACAGTAACACTATTCCAACACAGTAACACTATTCCCACACAGTAACACTATTCCAACACAGTAACACTATTCCCACACAGTAACACTATTCCAACACAGTAACACTATTCCCACACAGTAACACTATTCCCACACAGTAACACTATTCCCACACAGTAACACTATTCCAACACCTTAACACTATTCCAACACCTTAACACTATTCCAACACAGTAACACTATTCCCACACAGTAACACTATTCCAACACCTTAACACTATTCGAACACCTTAACACTATTCCAACACCTTAACACTATTCGAACACCTTAACACTATTCCAACACAGTAACACTATTCCAACACCTTAACACTATTCCCACACAGTAACACTATTCTAACACCTTAACACTATTCCAACACAGTAACACTATTCCCACACAGTAACACTATTCCAACACCTTAACACTATTCCAACACAGTAACACTATTCCCACACAGTAACACTATTCCAACACAGTAACACTATTCCAACACCTTAACACTATTCCCACACAGTAACACTATTCCAACACAGTAACACTATTCCCACACAGTAACACTATTCCAACACCTTAACACTATTCCCACACAGTAACACTATTCCAACACAGTAACACTATTCCAACACCTTAACACTATTCCCACACAGTAACACTATTCCCACACAGTAACACTATTCCAACACCTTAACACTATTCCCACACAGTAACACTATTCTAACACAGTAACACTATTCCAACACCTTAACACTATTCCAACACAGTAACACTATTCCAACACAGTAACACTATTCCCACACAGTAACACTATTCTAACACCTTAACACTATTCCCACACAGTAACACTATTCTAACACCTTAACACTATTCCAACACCTTAACACTATTCCAACACAGTAACACTATTCTAACACCTTAACACTATTCCAACACCTTAACACTATTCCAACACATTAACACTATTCCAACACCTTAACACTATTCCAACACCTTAACACTATTCCCACACAGTAACACTATTCTAACACCTTAACACTATTCCAACACCTTAACACTATTCCAACACAGTAACACTATTCCAACACCTTAACACTATTCCCACACAGTAACACTATTCTAACACCTTAACACTATTCCAACACCTTAACACTGTTCCCACACAGTAACACTATTCCAACACAGTAACACTATTCCAACACCTTAACACTATTCCAACACAGTAACACTATTCCAACACAGTAACACTATTCCAACACCTTAACACTATTCCCACACAGTAACACTATTCCAACACCTTAACACTATTCCAACACAGTAACACTATTCCAACACCTTAACACTATTCCCACACAGTAACACTATTCTAACACCTTAACACTATTCCAACACCTTAACACTGTTCCCACACAGTAACACTATTCCAACACAGTAACACTATTCCAACACCTTAACACTATTCCAACACCTTAACACTATTCCAACACCTTAACACTATTCCCACACAGTAACACTATTCCCACACAGTAACACTATTCGAACACCTTAACACTATTGCAATATTGCGATTCCTCTGAACATTTAGTATCCAGTCCTGTTTTGTGCTGTTCCTGCTCACAAACGTACATCCAGCACAGCAGATGGAGAGGTGAACAATACGAACATCAGTTCTGCAGCTTTTCAGTAAATAACTGAACTAAACTGTTTTCTCTCTCTCTCTCTCTGTCTATCTTACTCTCTCTCTCTTTCTCTCTCTATCTTTCTTCTCTCTCTGTATATTCCTCTCCCTCTCTCTCTCTCTCTCTCTCTCTCTCTTTCTCTCTCTGCAGTTGCTGCGTTTGAAGCGCTCTCTCTCCTTCATGCGCAGTAAAAGTGTGGAGAATTTTTTCCAGCGCTCCTACAGTGATGTCCGGGTTCCCCCAGACTTCCTCTCTGACCCGCCGCCTCCGTCTCCGCCCCTGCCGGGGTCACCAATGCCTAGCGACGGCTCTGCCAACCCGTCCCCCTCTGTCAGCCCCAAACCCTCTTTAAGCCCCTCCTCCTCTTCGGTCCTGCAGCCCCGTCTAACCCAAACACACTGCTTTCTGGACTACGTCTTCCGCCGGCCAACCAGCTGCCAGCTCTGCAAACACGTCATTGTGGGTAAGCCGGTACACGTCTTAAAGAGCCCATGATGTCACATTTACATATGACCACCCTTTCAGCCTACAGCAGTTTAGCCCCACCCATTCAGCCTACAGCAGTTTAGCCCCACCCATTCAGCCTACAGCAGTTTAGCCCCACCCATTCAGCCTACAGCAGTTTAGCCCCACCCATTCAGCCTACAGCAGTTTAGCCCCACCCATTCAGCCACTGATTAGCCCCACCTATTCCCTTTGAAGTGATATTTAGTGCTGTTCCTGCAGACAGTCTGTATCAGCGTTATTGGAGCGAACGTTGTGTGAAAACAATCAAACGTTGTGCTGTTCCTGGCTGTAAGGAAGCAAATGGATCACTGCAGCTTCCAAATGATCCACACATCCACACAGATTATTTTCCCCCCACATTTCAGCTCAGACTGCTTTTTGAACAAGACACAATACAGAGTTACTGTGATTTTTCTAACTAATATAGCGACTTTGATTTAAATTTCTATTATTTTCTATAAATTGAATTTCAGACCTGTTTTTTTACCAAAAAGATCAGAATGTCCACTTTTTCTGGTATGAGGTTTGACCCCTGAATCTAGTGAGCCACTGTTTGGTCTAACTCTACAAGCAGTATGCAACTCTGTGTTATTAGGTCAAATTTCCGCTCTTAAAACTCTTAAAACTGCTTAACTAAAACTGTTTTTGATAATGTAGGCTACAGTTTAAACAAAAATGCAGCTCTTGCGATTTGAAAGTTGCGCTCTCTTAAATTGTGATTTTGATATAAAAACAATTCATCTTTCAGCCGTAAGTATAAGCATGTAAATATACCCAAAAGTACCCAAAAGTCCCGTAATAATCAATTGTGTAACTTATATATATTATACTTAACTTATATATATTAATTATATATAGACTAAGTGCTGTAAAAGTTTGTGAGCCACTGAAGATGTGAGATTGAGTATGACAGCTATGAGACGTGCTGTTCTGGTGTACTCCTTTGTTTTCTCTATGTCAAATATATTCTTCTTTTGTTTTTTTTTTTGCGTCGGTAGAGTTCTGTACCATAAGCGCAGGATAAAAATAGTTCAAAGAACAGAGACGGTGTTGAAAGCCACCATGGGTTCCTCTACCGATCACATTTGCATTGTAGCTAAATTTCATGACTGATAGGAAAAAGTTTACTAGTCTTGTTATTGTCACACAGCGGGGTTCCCCAAGGCTCAGTCCTCGGCCCATTTTTTTTTTTATCTTTATATATCCTCCATTTATATCTTTGGACATATTAACCACATCAACGAGCTTTTACAGTGAGCATTAGTATGTACTACATATTTACACCTACACCTGAGCTGCTGAAAATGACATATTTGTACCTTTTTATATACATAATTGCAATACATAAATATCTATATATAAAGATTACATTTCTTATATATGCATCGTGGCAGTGTATGCTGTAAGAGTTTGTGAGCCACTGCTCTGCAGAGTTTTCATTTTGGAGATGTGAGATTCTGTTTGACAGCTATGAGACGTGCTGTTCTGGTGTTCTCCTTTGTTTCTCTGTGTCGAATATATTCTTTGGTTTTCTGTACTGTAGGATGAAAATAGTTCAAAGAACAGAGACGGTGTTGAGAGCCACCATGGGTTCCTCCACCGTTTTCCTAATAGGATCACATTTGCATTGTAGCTAAATTGGGAATTTTTGTTCTGTCAGATTCGCTACAGTTTATTATTCATGCACAGTTTTTGAATTTTGAGCACTGTTCAAATGTGCAGCCACTTCACTCGTATTCCTGCTGCCTTTCTGTATCTTATTGTATCTTAAATTTAGGATGGTTTGGTTGGTACGTTGCTTCTTCTCTCTTCCTCTGTCCGTCCCTCAGTCTGTTTTTCTGCTTCCGCCCCTGTTGTTTCAAATCTCTGACATTATTGCTGCTTCTAAGACGACCACTTGTTCCCCTGGCCTCCTACCTGCTACTCTAACCACGGCCTGTTGTCTTTAATCAGCGACTCGCTCGTGGTCGAGTCCCTTCTGAATATAAGATTGCAGCTGTTATTGATTGCTGCTATTCTTGAAAAGTGGATTGACCCTTCAATTTCTGTCCTATTTCAAAACTCTCTTTTATCTCACAGTGTTTGGAACACTGCTGTTTTCAATTCAATTGCCCTGTTGATCCTCTCCAGTCCAGTTTCTGACCTGTCAACAGCACAGAAACTGCCCTGGTCGAGATGTCTAATGATTTACTTTCAAATGTTGAAACTCTAAAAAATTTCAGCCCCTTGTTTTTATCTTTTATATCCTATATATTCACACCTACACCTGAGCAGGTGTAAGTGGTGGAGAAGCCAGTGGAAACTATTTGGCTGTTTTTGGTTAACTAAGCTAAAACCCATGAATTCTATATGCTGTGATTTAATTTACAGCCCTAATCATCGCTCTGGCTTTAACTCAGAACATGAAGCTCCAGTTCAGTGAGACTCAGCAGCTGCCAAATCTCTAAACCTCTACCGATCACATTTGCATTGTAGCTAAATTTCACGACTGATAGGATAAAATTTACTAGTCTTGTTATTGTCACGCAGCGGGGTTCCCCAAGGCTCAGTCCTCGGCCCATTTTTTTTTTTTATCTTTATATATCCTCCATTTATATCTTTGGACATATTAACCACATCAACAAGCTTTTACTATCTGCTGTTGTGTCGGACGTATATGGTTGTCACAAGGAATTATTAAAGAATAAACAGACAATGGCTATTCAGTTTTATTCAGTTTAACTTGCACACACTGTTCTCCTCTTTACTGGATCATTTTCCCATGGAAAAAGTTACCATTGTGTTTCCATGATAGTGTGTTTTAGATCACGTTATCGTCATGTTAATGCAGCATACACATTAATTACTTCTAACTAATTAGTTTGAAACTAAGTAGTGTAGCTAAAGACTCAGTAAAGACTTTACACACAAACTTACGTACAAAATTAAACAAAATCTGTTACCCACACCCAAAAAGATGGGTCTTCAAGTGTTCTTTAGCAAAGACAGTGGCTCTATAGAGCCATGAACACTCAAAGGTTCACTGTATGGTGAAATGGTTCTTCATATCAATGGAGAATGTGTTGTATATGGTTCCATATAGAACCTTTTTGAAAATGCTTTTATATAGAACCAAAAAGGTGCTATACAAGCTTGACATTGTAACAATAGCAAGAACCATTGTTTTTACTATAGAACCCTTGAAGTACCATCTTTTTTAAGAGTGCAGTTTGATTCCTCTTTATTTATGATGGTCATTGTCACAAATACTGGTTCTAGATCAGGACTCTGAATGAGGTGAATACAAACCCTGTTGTCTAAATGTCTGCCCACAGTTTAGTTCATGTTTGTAGCTCACAGTAAGTCATGCTGAGCTCCAAACCACACCGGCCAGTCTGCTCCACTGTAATGTAGACCTGGATGTGGTTTTAGCAGCAGAGAGCTGTTTTGAGGATGTGTTTACAGAAAAGATTTGGGTGACTATTGACCTCAAGTGTTTGTTGTCAGTGTTAGCCACATAGCTGTAATAATGTAATTATATGAATATGGTCATTGCTATTGCTCAGTTGGACTCAAAAGAATTGATCATAATATAGCTGAAATAATATACTATGATTACGGTAAAGCACAACTTCCGCAATACATTCAACAAATTAAAGATATATATATATAAATATAATACACAGACATATCGCTGTTGTTGGAACAAACCTTTGTATCTCCAAAATGGTAACTTTACAGGAGAAGGAAAAAACCTACTTTATTTTAATGTAAGTCAGTGGAACCAGAGTTTATTACAAGTCATTCTGGGCCGGTTCTTTTGGTCCATTCATCATTAAATTTACATACAATGTAAAGGGAAACAGGCATTTTCACATTCCAAAAACTAAAAAACAAAAATGGAGGTTTTCTTCTGACAGCAGCAATATGTATTTATAGCTTGTATATATATATATATATATATATATATATATATATATATTTATATATATGTACCATAGAATTTAGAGGGAGCAATGCTAAACTTAAAGGGAAAATTTTATACCTTTATTATTTTTCCAGTGTTTGCTCTGTGTGGAGCGTTTGTGTTGTCTGCGAAGGGCCGAGGGGTCTCTCTGTTTTAGTCAGACTCAGTGTTTGATTGTCCTCCCTGAATTATTATGCGTGATGGGAATTGTTCTATCTCTGCCTCTGATTGGACGTCTGTGCTGTTGTGATTTGGCTCAGTATGAGGCCGTCTCCTCCCTGACGGGCTCATCATCGATTCAAATAACGTGATCGGTAAATTTGTGGTATAATTGAGTCGATCGCCCTGTGTGCCCCCCTCTCTCTCTCTCCCGGTGTCTGTAGGGAATTCTAAGCAGGGCCTGCGCTGCAAAACCTGCAAGATAGCAGCTCATCTGTGGTGCACCTCAGAACTCTCACAGCAGCCATGCCAGGGCAAAGTAAGGCTCTCTCGCCCTCTCGCCCTCTCTTTCTGTGTCTACCTACCTATCTATCTATCTGTCTGTCTGTCTGTCAGTCTGTCTGTCTGTCTGTCTGTCTGTCTATCTATCTACCTATCTGTCTGTCTGTCTGTCTGACTGACTGTCTGTCTGTCTGTCTGTTTCTATCTATCTATCTATCTATCTATCTATCTATCTATCTGTCTGTCTGTCTGTCTGTCTGTCTGTTCCTATCTATCTATCTATCTATCTATCTATCTGTCTGTCTGTCTGTCTGTCTGACTGTCTGTTCCTATCTATCTATCTATCTATCTATCTATCTATCTATCTATCTATCTATCTATCTATCAATCTATCTATCTGTCTGTCGTGTCTGTCTGTCTGTCTGACTGTCTGACTGTCTGTTCCTATCTATCTATCTATCTATCTATCTATCTATCTATCTATCTATCTATCTGTCTGTCTGTCTGTCTGTCTGACTGTCGGTCGGTCTGTCTGTCTGTCTGTCTGTTCCTATCTATCTATCTATCTATCTATCTATCTATCTATCTATCTATCTATCTATCTGTCTATCTATCTGTCTGTCTGTCTGTCTGTTCCTATCTATCTATCTATCTATCTATCTATCTATCTATCTATCTATCTGTCTGTCTGTCTGACTGTCTGTCGGTCTGTCTATCTATTTCCATCTGTCTATCTATTTCTATCTGGTGTGTGTGTGTGTGTGTGTATATATATATATATATATATATACACACACACACACATTTTCTTGTTGGCTGTAAGTGGAATATAGAAGGACGTTTGTTGTGTAATTTGGGACATTTTGGATTTCACATGCAGAAACTAAAAAAATAAAATGTTTTTGTGATTTATTTTTTAAAAGTGAGGCTTAGTGTTTACGTGTGGTCTCTCCTTCTCTTCTGTGTTTTCTCAGGCTGGAATGTTCAAGAGGAACTTCAGCACTCCTCAGCTGGCCAGCGATCAGCCGAGCGCAGTGAAGGACACTCAGAGCACACAAGGTGAGTGGACAGTAACGGAGGGGTGTCGGAAAGGAATAAAACATTTAACAGGGAACAAAAACAAAACCTGAGAGTATTTCTCACAGAACATAATCAAAAACAGGAACGGGAAATGTTTTGTTTCTTATTCTTCATTCAGTGTACGTTAACTGTCACAAAATATTTTATTAATTATTTTAAAAGCCCCAGGGAACCGAAATAGCCACTCTTATTTCACCAGCAGCCAGTTACACCAGCTGAACGGAACTTTGATTGTAGCTTGGTTTGAATGTAAACTGACAACTGCGTTCAGGTTTACGAGCTATTAGAATTTAACTGGTTGCACCAAATAACAAACTTTTAACGTAACTTCGTTATAACTTATATATAGACGGTGTAAGATCTGCTGTAAAAATCTGTTAAAATGGCTGGTCCATTTGATTGACCAGAAAACTTGCAAGAAAGGCAAATCATTTGGCATGATGTCATCAGTATATATATATATATACACTCACCAAGCTCTTTATAAGGTACTTTTACCTTGTATCTACATTCATTATCAGCTCCACTGACCATATAGTTTCACTCTGTAGTTCTACAGTTACAGACTGAGCAGGTACTATTTGGGTGGTGGATCATTCTCAGCACTGCAGTAACACTGACGTGGTGGTGGTGTGTTAGTGTGTGTTGTGCTGGTACGAGTGGATCAGACACAGCAGTGCTGCTGGAGTTTTTAAACAGTGTGTCCACTCACTGTCCACTCTATTAGACACTCCTACCTTGTCAGTCCACCTTGTAGATGTAAAGTCAGAGACGATAGCTCATCTGCTGCTGCACAGTTTGTGTTGGTCATCCTCTAGTCCTTCATCAGTGGTCACAGGACGCTGCCCACAGGACGCTGTTGGCCGGATGGTGGACTATTATCAGTCCAGCAGTGACACTGAGGTGTTTAAAAACTCCAGCAGCACTGCTGTGTCTGATCCACTCAGACCAGCGCAACACACACTAACACACCATCACCACGTCAGTGTTACTGCAGTGCTGAGAATGATCCACCACCCAAATAGTACCTGCTCTTTTTTGTCTCCTTTAATCAGAAGAACCATTTCAAGCTTGTAACAACAGAAGAACCATTTTGGTGCTATGTAGAACCCTATATTTTTAAGGCAGCACTGACTTTTTAAAGTGTTTATATGTCAGAAGCCTGACGGTAATGTTCCTTCCAGAAAGCGTTCAGTACCTGATTGTTCTGAGATGAGTGTGTTTTGGTGTGTTTTGGCATGTTTTGGTGTGTTTTGGTGTGTTACGGTGTGTTTTGGTGTGTTTTGGTGTGTTATGATGTGTTTTGGTGTGTTTTGGTGTGTTACGGTGTGTTTTGGTGTGCTGTAGATGCGCGAGGGCGAGTGGACCCCATCTACGCCACGCTACGATACGGAACGTCTTTGGCTCAGATGAGCCGGTCCAGTTTCGGGAGTGTGTGTGAGTCTCCCACTCGTAGCCTGGTAAGTGTGTGGAGAGTTGAATGCAAAAGTTTGGGCGCCCCTCGTTGTTGTTCATTTTCTAAGTGTGAATAAGTAAACACATCCTCTGCTGAGACACACTTCTGCATATTATATTATAAACAGTTACTGTTTATTTACTGAATTTTACACACTGGGATAAAAGTAAAACACAAAGTGTGGCCTGTGCAAAAATTATGGCACATTTTGCACTGTTTTCCAGTATGTTAAGCTGAAGTACGCGGATCTGAATGGAACAGGTTACTGCGTACTGAACACCCAGCTGACAGGATATATTTACCAGTGGATAAAATAAGTGTAATCTGGATTTTTGCAAGCTATGTACACTCTTAATAAAAATGGTTCTTCAAGGGTTCTTTCACAAAGAATATGATCATATTTACATTAGTAGAACCATGAGCACTCAGATAGCCTTTTGCCAGATAACAGGGTTCTGTGCCTCATGAAAAGTGTTGAAAAGGGTTCCATATAGCACCCAAAAGGGCTCTTCAATTGTGATGATGTCAAGCTCGTTACAGTAGAAGAACCCTTTTGGGTGCTATATGGAACCCTTTTCAAAAAAGTATATATATAGAACTATCTGTAGCACATTTATGCACATTTTCCATCAATCTGAAGAACGCTTTCATGATGCGAAGAACCCTGTAATCTTGCAAAAGGTTCTTTGTTTGTTCATGGTTCTATATAGAACCATTTTCTTTGCTAAAGAACCCTTGAAGAACCATCTTTTTTAAGAGTGTAGGTGCTTGTATGGGTAATGATTGCAGAATAAATTATTTGAAAATAAAAGTATTGTACTGTTGTGTCTGATGCTGTTATTAATACAATATTTTTGTTTTATTTTAACTGTTAATTGAAGATTTTTCACAATTTTACCAGTAAACTTAAATAAAAATTGTACACTTTTTCTGAAAATGTTTTTTTTATGATGCAGTTGTTGCTGTACTATTACAGCCATGAATTACAAAATGATGATTAACAAGGGATTAAAAACTATTAAATAATAGAGATTTTCCGTTTTTATTAAGGTTTAATTACTGTAATTTATGTCTATTTGTAAATTTATTATTATTATTATAAATTTATTATTATTAAGTTGATAAAATAACACATACTTAATTTAAAATATAATAATTGTAAAATAGTAATTGTTTGTTTTCAGTAAGGGTTAATTATGATTTATTAAAATTTTGCAGAAACCCTGTATTAAAAAGTAAATAATACGCGCTCTACTATAATCTTGAGACACCTTGGGAGATTAATATGGTGAAGACTGAGTCTGTAGACGTGCTTTACAGACGTCTTCATTTCTTACGATGCCCTGATATGTTACCCTGGTGTCTTCAGACGTGTCCTGGTGATGTATGTGATCCACTGAGCGCTCAGTGAAACTCCTCTCTGCAGTACATACTGTAACTGTGGAGACGACACAGTTTGGAAAACATGTCCGAAAGTCTCCTGAGATCTCAGCGGCTCTCCTGAGATCTCAGCGGCTCTCCTGAGCTCCGTCTCTGTTCATGCTCGCTGCATTATGCTGTTAGGCTGTGAAGTAGCTGAGTGAGCTCATCTGTAAGTAGAACAGAGCAGGAGTTGAAATGGTTTTAAATGGTTTGTTCATCTAAACTAAATTTTACCTTTGTGTCGATTCATTCAGAGTATCTCTTTGAGCCCATTAAAGCCAGTTCAACTGCTTGTTACCACAAAAAAAGCTTATTTTTAGGTTGAACTGACAAACTGAAATGTTCTATATGCACTTTCCTGTACTTTACATAGGGAAAGTACATATTTATATAGGATTCTGTATGTATTTTCCCATACTTTGCACTTTCCTGAGTATTTTTGAAAGATGATATGTTTACCGCATTTACATTTCATTTCTTTTTTGGGTTTGATGTCGTTCTGTTGTGTTGGTTCAGCTCCTGTTCTGCTTTAATACTGATCACTCCTCTCACTTTGGAGCTTTAGTGTTTTATTTTAGACCAAAGGGATCCAAAAAAGAGGAGAGCAGAGTCTAATGAACTTTCATTTCTATACAGATTCTTATTTTCTAGCTTCTTGTTTGAGTTTTCTGTTCCACCTTTGGAATTAAATGGTCTTTACAGGGGTGGTGATAGGAACCAGGCGTCGCCGTGACTACAACACAAATATAGACATTTTATTTACTATCCAGAACCACCAGTGAACCTACACGAGTCTTCTGAGTTTATATGGAATGTTGATGATGGAAAATAGTGGAAAATCTGAAATAATAAGTTTTCTTTGGGGACTATTTTGCCTCACAGCGCCCTGCATGTATCCCTCCACCATGCATGGAGTTTAAGTTCTCAAAACTATCCTAAAACAGTGTCTCAGTCATCAGGCAGTGAATTCATAACCATTTCATGTAGTAACTTTCTGTGAGGGAGCTTTCAGAGGTGGACGTCTGGTTCCTATCACCACCACTGTGAACAGTTCTGACTCAGTAAGTTTCTCTAGAACTGAGCGTTTCACACCAAACCACTCTGAACGACTCTGTTTACATCTTAACCATTTAGTTATGAGGACATTTTGAAAAATTGGTGGAGTTCCCCTTTATGTTTTTGTGGAACAGAAAATTTAAATGAGAAGCCAGTAGGGCTGGGCAATATGGCAATATATATAGATAAATTATGTCACAATACAATACAGTCTGCTTTTCTGAACGTGTTGTGTTTATTGTCAGTGCTTGTAGAAACTGACCAGCTGCATGTTTCATTATAAAGAGAGTAAAATTAGTCCGTTTAACTGGATTTAGTGACAAATACTGAATTAAAATCACTGTGTTCACAGTTTTTAAAGTATTTTTTAAATACTGCTGGCTCTTTTTTCGCTGTTCCAACTGATCAGATGACTGAAAAAATAAACATCATGACTTATCTATCATGAAAACCTCTTGAAGTATTGTGATATTATATTTTTGCCATATTGCCCAGCTCTAGAATCCAGTTTCAGCTTTGTATAGAAGATCCCTGCTGTTCTATAAGCACTTAAGTAGTTCTTTAGTTGCTGCTTTTGTGCTTCTACTCAAATTGCTGGGAAGGTGCTTTAACTTTTACCTGGAATAAAATGACTGTAAAATGAAAAATGCTTTTTCTAAAAGAGTTATATTGAATATAAAACAGTGCTGTAGAGGCTGTGGATTACAGACAGTCGTAGTTTTCTAACGGTGGGGTTCTGTGTGAGAGCATTAGTAGTATGTATTTATTTTGACATTATTTCAGTAGCTTGTGATCCTGTTTGATGTTTTGACCTGTAGTGTGCGATAAAGCCCTGATGGGTTGACTCAGGTGAGCTCCAGGCTCCTCAGGGTGTGAATTAAGATACACTGCGCTGTTTGTGCTGAAGTAAACGCTCCCTGTTGTGTTGGTGTTGGTGTTGATTGTGTCTCCAGGGTGATGGAGGGGACGAGAAGGTGGAGGGAGAGATGGAGACGGAGGAAGGGCCAAATGAAGACATGGAGAATGGTGAGAAATAAGGCTGTACTGGTTTTGCAGACAGTAGCACAGCAGTGTAGCACGATAAAACGAGAGTATGTACAGTAGGGTTCGGAGAGTACAGCGGGCCCAGCGTTTGGTATGTAGTATTGGTATTGGTATGTAGTGGTATTGCAGTAACGGTATGGTTTCGGTATCTTTATATTTTGGAAAAAAACACATCACCCTTTGAACAATGAACTCCTCTGCTGAACAAGGATGATTACAAAACCATTAGGATTAAAACCCAATGATTTTGCTTTCTATTGGGAATTGGCTTAATGGTTTCCGATAGAGACCACTGGTTTCCTGTCAAACACCTTTAGATCCCATTAGGAAACCATCAGATGCATTTAGAATCAGCCATTGGTCTCCTTTTCAACCTTTAGAATCCTTTACACTGTGATATCAACCCATTAAAAAAGTCAAAATACTTTACAAAACCATCAGAAACCAACAGAAACACAATGGTTTCTATGTTTTTTAGCAGCTTCTTTATTTTGCCTGTAGACAAATAAAACTTTCCATTCAGGAAAATGTCAGCGTGACTGACTGGGCTGGTTTCTGTCTGTACTGTACAGTACAATCAGGAGAAAATCATTAAAATTAAAAGTGCTGCTCATCTTTGACAGCCTGTAGGTGTTTTGTCTGCTCTGTTTTAGATGAGAGCAGACAAAAGAGAGCTAGAGAGGGCGTCTCTGTCGTTTTCAGTTTTTCTCTGGATGTTTCGTAGAGTTCAGGAATTACTGTGAACACTGTAAAGGCCACCGCACACCGGACACGCCGCGTCACGTGGAATAGCATCATCATGCAGCAGAGCGCTGCTGTAGAACACCAGCAGGGAGAGCCAGTAAACGCCAGGTTCACGTTCATTTCTACACTCTACTCGCATAAACTGAATGAAATAAAGTGTTCAGTGTCTCATCATGAGTCACTCATGGCTTTAGTTCACTTCCTCTTGGCTGTTTTGAGCTTTCATTAAAAACAAAGGTTTCGGGCTCCTCAGTGGCGCAACCGTCCGTTTGATCCCTGGTGATGCTGGGAGTCCACAGTTGGCCTCGATCTCTCTGGGTGGGTAGGATGCACTCAGCGTGATGCTAGTCAGTGCAGGCGTCTGTTAGCTGACATAACAGATCTGGCGGTTGGCGCTCAGCTGTCCAATGTCATTGTGTTAGCAGCAGTTTGAAAAGATGCGGTGGAGCTTCACAGGTATCGGAGGAATCCTGTGTTTGCCTTCGCCCTCCTAGCGCTGGGAGAGTCCTGACTAGTGGGTGGAACTGGATACGACAAAAATTGGGTGGAAAATCCAGCTCGTATTTGCACACAGAGCACTGATCGCTGATAAGGTCCAGAGGATGTTCTGTGGACCTGAATGTACAGCGTGCAAATATTCTGCAGCACAATAAGCAAGTTTTGGAAATTCTACAAAGATAACAGGCATATCGTAATATTGAGGTTCACATGTGCGTATTGAACCGAAGCATATTGAATGGTCCGATAACATACCGTGTACCATCGCTAATGTACACTCGTATGCAATTTTTTTAACATTTAACATTCCTGGTCGACATGATTTGTTGTTTTTTGTTTATTATCATATTGGCTCGCCACTCTACTGACAGGGTGAGGAGCTCAGCCCTCTGGGAGGAGCTCGGAGTAGAGCCACTACTCTTCCACAAACAAAACTCCTGTGTTCTTAGGCACAACGTGAAGCAGAGTAAACCCCCCTCCCGTGATAAAATGGCAGTAACACATGGCCTATTGCTAACAGTGGCTTATTGCTAACAGTGGCTTATTGCTAACAGTGGCTTATTGCTAAAATAAAAATATAAACTGCACCAAAACAATTTATTATTTAAGTAATCATTAACAGTAATCGACGTAACTGTTCGGCCAAGAAATGTAGTTCCTTTAGAGTTTGGTATTGTTGCCAAGCAACCATGGACCACTGAATGCGGAGAAGAATGCTCGGTCGGCCGTCGCTGTTTACTGTGATCTTTTTCTTTTATTTTAACTTTTTTGTTGAATAACAGTGAACATATGATAACACACTGAACAACGAACATATGATAACACACTGAACAACGAACATATGATAACACACTGAACAACGAACATATGATAACACACTGAACAACGAACATATGATAACACACTGAACAATGAACATATGATAACACACTGAACAACGAACATATGATAACACACTGAACAGTGAACATATGATAACACACTGAACAACGAACATATGATAACACACTGAACAGTGAACATATGATAACACACTGAACAACGAACATATGATAACACACTGAACAGTGAACATATGATAACACACTGAACAATGAACATATGATAACACACTGAACAGTGAACATATGATAACACACTGAACAACGAACATATGATAACACACTGAACAGTGAACATATGATAACACACTGAACAGTGAACATATGATAACACACTGAACAGTGAACATATGATAACACACTGCGTAACACAAAAACTGCTAATACCACAAATTATTCCGTCTGAAAAACAGTCACGTCTCTGAAAGAATCAGTCATACAGATTTAGAGAGGAACTGAAAAATCCCTCAAAGTGTTCAAAAACAGTTTTGCATTAATATTTAGTGACAGAACTGACCACTGAGTTCGATAGGGTTTTGAGTGAAAGCCTTTTCCAAATTCAGGGAAACGTGTTGAAATTATTGTCTGTGGTAACTGATGGTGTTTCAGATAGAGATGAGGCTGAAAGGTGCTGGAATATTCCATTAAACTGATGATGATGATGATGATAGGAGTGTGTGTCTGCTCGGTGCTGTGCTGCCTGTGGGTCAGCGTATTTACTGCTTCATTAGTGGCAGTGACGGAACGTTTACAGGCGTATGGTGATAATAACTAAAGCCTGTGTTCTCTGCAGGATCTGGTACACAGCGTCCTAAAAACCTATTAAACACACCCTCAGTCACCAGCCTGCTCAGTCTGAGCCTCGAACTGAGCACCCAGTGAACATACACACTTACCTTCACATTACATTACTGCACTCACTGTTCACAAGGACATACAGTCGGATCCACAAACTCCAGAATAAGCGCTGGGTTTGATTTATTAGACCTTCATTCTGGAATTTACAAAGATCTCATTTTTCCTAAATTAACTTTAAGTATGAAGATCTGATAAAATTAATATCCAGAATGAAGTTCTGATAAAATTAACATCCAGAATGAAGATCTAATTAAATTAATATCCAGAAGGAAGTTCTAATAAAATTAACATCCAGAATGAAGTTCTGATAAAATGAAGTTTCTAATAAAATTAATATCCAGAAAGAAGTTCTAATAAAATTAAGTTCTAATAAAATTAACATCCAGAATGAAGTTCTAATAAAATTAATATCCAGAAAGAAGTTCTAATAAAATTAAGTTCTAATAAAATTAACATCCAGAATGAAGTTCTAATAAAATTAATATCCAGAAAGAAGTTCTAATAAAATTAAGTTCTAATAAAATTAATATCCAGAATGAAGTTCTTATAAAATCAATATCCAGAAGATCCAGAAGTTTTTAAATATTTCAGTGTCTCATATTTTAAAAGTGGTGATTAAATCTTGAGATTAGTATGTGGAGATTAGTATTGTGTATTATATATCATTTAAGGATAAACTTGTTGTTACCAGAAAACTCCTTATAGTATTGAATAAAAGTCTAAAAATGTCTTCATGTGTCTGTATTAAGATTTCAGTCTGGACTGTATAAGTTATTATCGATTAAAATAACAGTGATTCTAATCCTCTGATCGTGGATTCAGTCGTGTGTGGTCATTACTGAGTATAAAGTGTTTACTGACCGAATGTGTATCTGTTTTTAAAGCAGATCTTCCTCCTTCAGAGAACGTGAAGCCTGAAGTGGAGGACACAGTAAAGGTATGAGCTGCTCCTCCTCCCCTCCACACCCACAAAGACTGTTCATTAGAATATTTACTAATGATCTTCTTTCTCTCTCTCCCTCTCTCTCTCTCTCTCTCTCTCTCTCTCCATGTTCCTGCAGGTTCCTAAAGTTCACGCTATCCACACTTACGTTGCCCTCTACAAGTTTCTGCCCCAAGAACAAAATGACCTAGGACTACAGTGAGTCTGTGTTATCATGACATCAAACTCACACTGTATGTGATTCCTCCAAGCAATGAGTCTGGAGTGTTAAGTTTTGGAAGGTGGAGGTTGGAGTTTGAAGAATGGAGTTTGGAGGTTTGAGTTTGGATTTTGGAGATTGGAGGACAGAGTTTGGAATTTGGAGTTTGGAGGTAGGAGGTGTTTGGATTTTGGAGGCTGGATTTTGGAGGATGCAGTTTGGAGGATGGAGTTTGGAGAATGGAGGATAGAGTTTGGAGGTTGGATTTTGGAGGATGGAGTTTGAAGGATAGAGTTTGGAGGTTGGAGGTGGATTTTAGAGGCTGGAGTTTGGAGGTTGGAGTTTGTATTTTGGAGGATGGGTTTCAGATTTTCGAGGTTGGAGTTTGGAGTTTGGGGTCTGAGTTTGGGGGCTGGAAATTGGGGATTGGGGGCTGTTTCAATGCTGGTGTTTGGAGCTTTCTGGTTAGGGGTTTTATTTGAGGATAGTGAGCCACAGAAGCCTTCCTGATGCTCTTCTCCTGGAGATAATGAGAGATAAACACTTCAAGGTGAAAGGTTGGAGGCTGGAGTTTGGATATTTTGGATGTTAATGGTAGAGGGTAGATGTTAGAGCTCAGAGTTGGAGTTTGAAGGTGACAGTCTGGAGCCTGAAATTTGGAGATTTGAGGTTGAAGTTCAGATGTTGCAGCTTAAAGAAACTTGGACCCTGGAAGATGGAGGGTAAACGTTGGAGGTTGAGGTTTTGGTATTGGAGGCTGGAGATTGTAGGTTTTACATTTGACACTGGAGGTTGAAGGTTTGGTATTGAAGGTTGGAGTCTGAAGGTTGGAGGTTGGTGTAGTGTAGTGGGTAAAACCTCTGCCCTCCATGCTGTAGACTGGGGTTTAATCCTCTGTCTGGGAAAGCACCCTGTCCTACACCAGTCAGAGTCCTTGGGCAAGACTCCTAACACCACCTTCATCTACCTGTGTAAATTGTAAGTCGCTCTGGATAAAAGTGTCTGCCAGATGTAGAATGTTGATGGTTTGGCATTAGAGGTTGGATATCGGGGTTGAACGTTGGGTGTTTGAGCCTGCAGGTGTGCTCAGTGTCTGTTTCTTGTTTGGCATTAAGCATCACTGGATTTGCTTCCCTTCACACTGAAGCAGCTGTTCCAGCTGTAGATGCTCACATAGATACAAGATTAATGAGCAGCCTGTGTTGGGTGTGTGGTGGTATTTGTGTTAGAAAGATTAAAATCCCATGACCATCTGCAGAGAGCAGTGTGTGGGAATACAAGCTTAAAATACTCTCTCTTACACACACACACACCCCAGAGAGTGAGCAGATGGTCTCGTGGTCTCTGCACGTTTCTGTGTTGCTGACTGCAGGTCTCCTACAGGACAAACACTCACATAAATCAGGAGGAGGCAGGTATAAAAGTCTGCACTGGGAATTCGGGCCCCTGAGACATGAGTGAATCTCGGGGCCAATAATAAGAACTTGTAGAAACATGTTGCATGTTTATCGTAAATACATTGTATTTATAACTAGAAAAGCTTATTTCCTGAAGAGAATGCAGAGTGATAGCACAGGTTAAGCAGTTTGAGAACAGTTGTTAGGGTGTTGCTAGGCGGATGCTAAGGTATCCCAGGTGGTTGCTAAGATGTTTCTAGGCACTAGGGAGTTACTATGGTATCCCTTGCGATTGCTGGGGTGTTGCAAGGCGGTTGCTAGGGTGTCGCTAGGGATTTGCTATGGTATCCAAGGTGGTTGCTAAGATGTTGTTAAGTGGTTGCTATGATATTCGAGGTGGTTGCTAGGCTGTTGCTAGGGAGTTGCTATGGTATCCCAGGTGGTTGCTAGGGTGTTGCTAGGCTGTTGCTATGGTATCCCAGGTGTTTACTAAGGGGTTGCTAGGTGGTTGCTATGGTATCCTGGGGGTTGCTAGGGTGTTGCTAGGCGGTTGGTATGGTATCCCAGGTGGCTGCTAAGGGGTTGCTAGGTGGTTGCTTGTGATTGCAATGCTATCCCAGATGATTAACAGGGTGTTGCTAATGGACTCAAATCATCAGGCCCCATTCATTCCTATGGGAAAAATTTGACCATTAACAATAATTGTACAAAGACCTTGCATCTGATCAAAGAGTTGGAATGTTTTTCACAATATAGTCAGCCAGACCGAAGAGTGAAAAGCAGCCGTCTTGTTATTAATGGTGAATATTTGTGAATGTGTGGAAAGTCATTTAGTCAAAAAGTCACTTTTCTTGTACTTTATTTTTGCCCTTAAGGTTCCACTAATGACATTTGTTTATGTTTAGGTACTGAAAAACAATCATAATTCACTTCTACATGATCAACTTCTCTTTATCCCTTTGAACCAAACAGGCTGTTTTTGTTATTGTGCCTTTGTCTGTAAATGAGCTCTATTCTGATTGGCTGTATTGTATTGAGCCTTGTTCAAAAAGCAGTCCAGGCTGAAACACCTCTTATAACTTTAGTGTGAGGGGCTAAACTGCAATACGAATCTACAAATTTCAGGTGGTGCAACCGTTCAACCATGTCTGCTGATTGAACAACAAAAAGTTATGTAAAATTCTAAATAAAATGTTTAGCATGAAAATAAAATTCAATTAAAGTCAATGTTGCAAAATAAGGCAACTTTAAAAGAGCTCATTTCACTGAAAAAGTTTTGTCTTCCTTCCGCAAATGTCAGGCAGCACAACCGAAAACAAAGGACTTTTATTTTGACATGCTTTTACGAAACCGGGGCCAGGTATTGCATCATAAAGAAGACCAAGTTTAGCAAAAATGTAAATGTATAAATATAAGTATAAATATAAACTCAAGTTCAAGGAATTAGGTTTCTATGGGTGTCTAAGTAGACATCTGTTTAATTTGAAATTAGTCTGAAAAGTCAGGTGGCTTAACCAGTCAGTCAGATGGAGCAACCAAACCAGCACAGTTTAATAATTATTTAAGATATACACATAGATATAAATCCAATTATATATGCAGATATAAAAATGCACACTATGCTCTTAAGTTGTATTTTTTTTTATTTTCATTTTGAAAATCCTAATTTGCCATTGACCCATATAGACTGTATGAACTGGGAAGAGAATGATATGATTACAAACATTGGCTTTGTTTATCCAGTGGTGGACGAAGCACACAAACCATGTACTTGAGTTAAAGTAGAGACACCCAAGGTAAAATATTACTCCAGTAAAAGTAGAAGTTCCTCCCTTTAGACCTCCACTTGAGTAAAAGTACTAAAGTATTTGCCTTCAAATGTACTTAAGTATCGAAAGTAAAAGCACTAAAAGATTAATTATGTCTTTAATGTCCTATTATCATTTTTATAACAAGACTCGCTTCATTAACTCATTTTAGGTGAAAATACTCCAGTGTCTCTCTTGGTAAACCAGTCTTTTAATAGAGTCATTAATTAGTGATGCTGATGTCTATTAAAATTATCATAAGCTCAAAACACTGAAGGCAAACAGTTTCCATCAGGTAGAACTGAGTGGCTCTGAAATCACTTTACAAACAAGCAAAGTTTCAGTTTAAGGTTTATTTGTAACTTAGTTCCAAGTTTAAGTTTAATAAAGACTTTAAACTCAGATTCACAAATGAGTTTCCCTTACTAAACTGCATCTGTAGGTCTCTGTTCATAAACATAAACTAGCCTAAACTAATTTACTATAAAATGAAATGTGTTTGTATAAATTCAGAAAAAAGACACGTCAGTCACAACTGCATATGTGTACATATTTCTATATTGTGGTCTGTTTACACAAAGTTAGGTTAGTTCATCATTTATGTTGAATAGACTCTCCCAAAATTGTACGCTGCTGCACTGATGTTGAACCGTGTGCTGCACTGGGTCAGTATGACCAACAGGTCAAAACAAGCTCTAAACAAAGTGACCGCTGTGCCCTGATTGGTGTTCTCACTTTGCGCTTCTTTCATTTTGACATGTTACATTTTTAAACACACATAAACCAAAAGGAGCGACAGATTTCTCATAATGTAGTGGAGTAAAAAGTGAGATATCTGACTTTGAAATGTAGTGGAGTGAAAGGAAAAAGTCTCCCAAAATGGAAAAACTTCAGTAAAGTACAGATACACGAAAAACTACTTAAGTACAGAAACGAATTACATTTACTTCGTTACTGTCCACCACTGTTGTTTACATACTACATCAAACTGTGTTGTGTAAAAAGTGAGGAAAATAAAACTGAGGAAAATTCAGTGTGAAATTTTGCGGCCGGTGCACCGGACAATGTTGACTTCATAAAAACACACATAAGAGGTCTAAGAGGTTTCTCTTCTCTCTGTTTGTCCATCTCTCTCTCTGTCTCTCTCTCTCTCTCTCTCAGTCCTGGTGACAGGGTGCAGGTCACTGACGACTCTAATGAAGAGTGGTGGAAGGTGAGCAATAAACTACTCATCATTCTTCTAATTGTATTACCGTGTGTTTGAACGAGGGACAGAGCTGCAGGAAAGATCTTCTGCTGGTTCTTCTCCCACTTTTCCTCCCTAAATGGATCAACAAACTGATTTAAGTCACAGTTCAAACAAGCTTGACCACAGAGTGTAACCATGTGCATGTGTGTATGTGTGTATGTCTGATTTTAGGGTAAAAGTGGAGACAGGGTGGGCTTCTTCCCTGCTAATTTTGTCCAGCGAGTGCGTCCAGGTGAGCGAGTGTGGAGGGTCACTCAGGCTGCCCAAGGAAACCGACAACTGGGTCACATGGCTGTTAAGGAAGATCAGGTGATAAAAACATATGTGTACATTTTTACACATATTTTACCCAAAAAGTCCCAAACATGCCCTAATCAAAGCTCCTAACATGTACCGGAAACTGGGTTCAGTTTCCAGATTTAAAGACGTCTGTTACAAACCAATACAGGACACTTTTAAATGAACAGTGGAAGCCATATCAATATCACTGATGACTAATCGACTTTGTTGATTAATCACTGCAGCTCTAATATACAGTGTAGTGCAGCTTTCAGATCCTGCACAGTGTTTTTCTGCTGCAGTGCAAGAAACAGTTCACCACTGAGCTGAAAGCACTGAACTGTACTGTACCACAGAGTTTTAGACCCCTGTGGTGACCCCAGTGTTATTACTGTATAAAGAGTAATACATGCAGTGCTTTCTGTCTTTTCTATGGTCTTGTAGATCTGTGTGGGGAAGAATGAGGACAGTGAAGGATATCTAAAGCTGTGCAGTGGGAGAAAACGAGGACTGGTGCCCACCCGCTCTCTGGAGGAAATCTGACATTCTGGACGAGCTTCAGGCTTGCATTTCAGACTTTACTGTCCCATATCCTCAAAAACACCTTACCCAACAGTGGTGATCCAGTGTTAACCTAACAGTGGCCCAGTGGTAACTCACCAGTGACCCAATGGTCACCCGTGGTAACCCAACAGTGACCTAATGGTGACCCAGCGGTGACCCCATGGTAGCACACCAGTGATCCATTGGTCACCCAATCGTAACCCAACAGTGACCCAGTGGTAGCCCAACAGATAGCCAAAGGCAACCAAACAGCAACCCAAGTTAGACCCAACGTCAACCCAAAAGCAACACGATGGTGACACAACGGCGACAGTGACCCAATGTTGACCTAAAGGTAACCCAGCAGCAGTCCGACGGTGACAGAGTGGTAATCCAGCAATGACCCAATGTTGACCCAAAGGTAAACCAACAGCAACCCAGTGGTGACACAATGGTAACCCAGCAGCAGTCCAACGGTAACAGAGTGGTAACCCAAGAATGACCCAACGTTGACCCAAAGGTAACCCAGCAGCAGTCCAAAGGTGACAGTGGTAACCCAGCAATGACCCAATGTTGACCTAATGGTAACCCAGCAGCAGTCCAACGGTGACAGAATGGTAAACCAACAACGACCCAATATTGACCCAGTGGTAACCCAGCAGCAATCCAATGGTGACACAATGGTAAACCAACAAAGACCCAGTGTTGACCCAAAGGTAACCAAGCATTGACCCAGTGGTGACCCAACAATGATCCAATGGTAACTCAACAACAACCCACTGTTGACCCAAAGGTAACCAAGCAGTGACCCAGTGGTGACCCAAAAGTGACCCAATGGTAGCAACACAACGGCCCAGTGGTGATCTACTGTATCTCTGGAATGCTTCGAATGCCTAAAGCTAGAACTACGTCTCTTCAGAAGCTATGAGTGTGTTCTCATTTTTAAGCCCCACACAAATTTTGACTACACATAAACACTCATACACACACACACACACACACACACACACACACATACACTGTATGACTGTCATTACCACCAAATCAGGCCTAGATGACCTGTCGTTGGGGTGTGGATCTCAGAACCCCATCCTGATTTGAAGACCCCATCTACATCTGGCTTTAAAAAGTATCCCATATCTGGACACCATTCAGGAGACAGGATGTATACATGAGTGGGATCAGAATGGGATTAGATCAGACAGTCTGAGGTGATTAGTTGCTGTCGTGGTTATAGTCGTGGATATACTCCAGCTTTCTGTTTTCAGCCATCATGACATCTACAGGATGAATCGTTCCGCTGAGGACTTCCAGACAGATCCTGATGCAGATGCTGGGATTAAATGGAGGCATATTAGCCAGCTTTTGGAATTAACACCCGCCGCCCGGCACATGTGGGTAAACTGTGGGGTTCATGAGCAACGATTTCACCCCTCAACTTTTCAGATCATTTTTTCATCCAGACTTTGTGGCGTTGAACTTTTCCCATGCTCTGCCCATAAATGTGTTCTTTCCTAGCTACTGTTAGGATGTTTTACAGAGCTCAGACTAAATTTAGAGTGTGTTATTCATTTATGGAGATGCATAATGATATCGGAATAATATAAGTATTGTTATATATATTCTTATATTTGAAAAGTACTTTAAACCAACATGTGATGATGTATTTAATGAACTCCAAAAGAGAGGAATATTTAGTTGATGTTGGGTTACCACGCAAAAAAATACTTATTTATTTTAGTTTGGCCAACATTAGCATGGTGGCTAATTTGCTGTCCAACCTGCCATGTTTTGATTAGCTAGAACTACAGAGTCCAGCTCAGTTGCACAGCATTTTAAACTGGAAACTCAACACTATGTAGAGACTCTAAACAAAGCCCTTTACAGTTTCTCATTAGGCTGAATGAATAACAGACTCTAAATGTAGGTATTGTGATATAAACTGAGTCGGTTCTACAGTTTCTCATTAGCCTGAATGAATAACTGACTCTAAATGTAGGTATTGTGATATAAACTGAGTCTGTTCTACAGTTTCTCATTAGGCTGAATGAATAACTGACTCTAAAGGTAGGTATTGTGATATAAACTGAGTCGGTTCTACAGTTTCTCATTAGACTGAATGAATAACTGACTCTAAAGGTAGGTATTGTGATATAAACTGAGTCTGTTCTACAGTTTCTCATTAGGCTGAATGGGATTTTTGCCAGCTTTCTGTAAAGCTTGCTAGCATAGCAACCATATCTATGAATGAACACATTTGTGGGTGGATCCTGGAAAAGGTAATCATCCAGAGTGTCAATCAAATGTTTTCAAAATGTTGTCCAGTGCAAGCATTTCATTTTAAACGGCGGGTAAAAAATTTAATGTACCTCCTACAAGTGGCAGGTGGGGAACAAAAGTCAATTTCAGACGCTGGTATTAATGCACTGACCCTCGATTGGATTGTGAATCCATTATATTGATTGGATCAGAAAATATGGACATTAATTTGCAGCATAAACTGGGCCAAACACACACCTGCGGTCCAGCACTCACATTTCTGACATGTCAGTTTCTCATGTCTCTTCTATAAAGGAATGGTTCTACGAAAAACAAATATATATATATATATATATATATATATATATATGACTTACCTCAAATGTAGTTGATCAACCAAGACATGTTTGGTGTCCAAATTTTGATTCTTTCATTTATTATTGGAGATGCTAGGCTAGTGTTACTAACAAACACTGGAAGTCAATAGTCACCCAAACCATTTGCGTAAATACATGCATGAAACGTCTCTCAATCCGCTCAAACCACATCCACTGGGTTTTAATTCAGGTCGCTTAGGCAAGGTGATATGGTTTAGAACACAATATGAACTATAAAAACAAAACAAAAAGAAAAAAAACTTCCTTCCTTAGCACAATATGGTGATTGCACAAACGATGCGGATGATAACGTAGTTCCAGTTTTAGCTTAAATGTATAAAAAAGGCCATTTTACAAAACTGTTTTGTTGTAACCGGTTCGCTGTCGCTGCTGAAACAAAAATATGAAGATTTTGGCATGTACTTCTGAAAACGGTTTGGGTGACTATTGACTTCCATTAAAGTGAGTGTCGTTAGCCTAACAGCTCCAGTTCTCAACTAGAGAAGCGAAACATAACCGAACATCTCTAGTAGGATCGACTGCTTTTAGGGTCCGTGGAAGATCATATAAATTGGATTTTTTTCCAAACCATTTCTTTAACACACGTGACTCTGACATGTTTCTGCTTTGTCCTTCACTTTATCCTACGCAGTGCTATAACGGTCCTCAGGCTTAATTTAGCCTGACTCTGATTTACATCTCTATTTCAGACCGTCCTCCTTTTAACGTTCCTTACGTTCAAGGACAGCGCGTGTGTGTTTGTGTAGTAATCAGGGCACAAAAGCAGGTCAGATTTAGTGGATGATAAATCTGTGGCTGAGTGAGACTGGACAGTAATGTGATTTGCAGACTGTTGGGTTTTGTAGCTGTCGGCAGAGCCGCGGTACCTGCAGCTAATCCAATACTCCACTTTCAGCTCACTTTAGAACACTGACCTGACGTCTCAGTCCTGCTTAGAAAAATAATAAATACTTAATATTAACTTAAAACTTGCACTTTCACATCACGTCCTCTTACCTTTTATTTCTCCTCCAGTTATAAAGCGGGCATGAGTCGAAGGAAGACACTGTACTGAAGTGCGTACATCACTTCCACATGAATAAATTATATTATATCAACACTGTGAGGAGCCCTTATGGCCTTCTAGATCTCCAGAGAAGGCCTGATGATTTCTATGAAATAAAAATGCATGTCTGTCATGTTTAGTTCTTTTTATTTAGTGACTTTTAAAAGCTTCAGAAGTCCTTGTTTAATGTAGAAAAGGGTAAAATTCATGTTCATGTGAAACGCTGTGAGCTTAGCGCTAACATAGTATTAGAAATCCCATAGGGGCGCAGAAATGAGGAGGTGTTTTTCCTCGTTTTTGGCCAAGTTTTCACGTTTATGTCCTGAACTGAAGGCCCAGCTCTGATAGTCACAGTTCACCACTGCATCAACACAGTTACTGCCAACAGTAAATAAGCTTTATCCCTCTGGGGTTCCTCCTAAATTCTCCTCTAAAGGTGATCCTCATATGTTTCATATCTAAATGCTCCGTTATCTTCATCACTACTTTCCAAACCCGCTGCAGCAGCTTCAGCAGCTGTAAACTCTCTGCACGCCGTTTCACATGAGTCTCCGATGTGGACTGAATGAAGAATGAAGGGTTTCCGGCGTGATGGTCAGTGCTTAGTGATTTCCTGAGTGTCCATTGGTCAGTTTCACACAGAATGTAGACGGACACACGAATCCACCAGTTCCACACGGTAAGAGGCAGATGACGTGTATCTCAGCCCCTCTTCAGAGGCTCATAACTCCGGATGTGAGTCTCGTATGATCTCGAGATAAGATGGAATGGAAAGGGCGACTCTACAGATTCAGGAAATGTTTGAACTGGATTTCTGAGCTGGATCATCACAAAGATATAAGAATCTGACGTGTGGGTGACTTTGTGGACCCCAGAGGGTTAAAGACTAAATAGTGATGATAAATTACATCAAAATAATAATATATTTTATTCATGTGGAAATGATTCAATTCAGCGGTTTCATCAGTATATAAATAATAATAATAAACATTGGCCATGGAATCTTTTTGTGTTCAATCTGTTGAATTATTAGCATTATTACTGAGTGCCTGCAGAAACACTGAGCTGCTCTAATAGTGCTGCTGCACTCCAGACAAAGCAGAGAATAAACTGATTAGTAAGCAAATAGAAACTGCCATATTTGTATTTTTGAGAAATTTCAGGAATCAGGATTAAGACAACCTAAAAAAATTATACTGTACACACTTTATAAAGATGGTTCTATAGTAAAAACTATGGTTCTATATAGAACCATGAACCCTCAAAGAACAATTTGCATGCTAAATGTTCTCTGCATGGTGAAATGGTTCTTCAAATTGATGGAGAATGTGTCATATACGGTTCTATATAGCACCAAAAAGCGCTCTTCTGTTGTATACAGGCTTGACATCATAACTTTAGCAGAACCCAACCCTTTTGGTGCTAAATAGAACCATATACAACAAATTCTCCATCAATCTGAAGAACAATTTCACCATGCAAAGAACCATTTAAGCATTCAAATGCTCTTTGAGTGTTCATGTTTCCACATAGAACCACTGTCTTTACTGAAAAACATTGAAGACCTTCTTCTTTAAGAGTGTGTAGCATCTCTGAACTGCAATGTACCAAATAAACAAAGTGCATATCCAAACTTCTTCACAAAATCAGTCATGTAAAGAATCGTTAGAGGGACTGAGTTGTTGAAATAAAACTTTTAAACTGAAAACAGATTCTGTGATTTTTTAATGT